AGTCGCGGAAGAGGGGGGGGGAGGGGGGGAGGAAGGGGGCGCGGAGTGACCGACCAAGGTGAGCTCCTGCACTCGGAAAAAGTAGGGAAAGAGGGCGTTCAAGGCTGTGGCTTTAGGAATACGTGCCTGAGTGACGTGCCCCGTAGAGCTGTTTTAGTGAGTTTGACAGAATAGACCCATACAAAATCCTTAACAGAAAGGGGCGCTTTACCTAACTCTCTCGAGCAGCTAAGCACTTCGTAACAACCTGGTCCAAAATGATAAAGTGAAATTCGCGTCGATCTGGCCTGGGGATGAAGATGAGATCTTGGCTTCCAGTACGACTCCTTACCCAGCGCCCTTATTGAAGACCTGATAGAGGACGGGAAAGTGGGGAAGGAACCAGGCAGAACAGCGGATGGTGCTGATCCTTTAGAGGTCGGCGGCAGAATGTTCCCAGTTGCGATATAGTAGCCGCACAAAAGTTCATAAATGATCTCGTGGGAAGCGTTCTAGATGTAGACTGCGTTGTCCAAGTGCATTAATCAAGCCGTCGGAGGTTCGCTCGTTATTGCCACGCAGGCCTTAGGTTGGTAGGTATTAATTGAACTTTTATCATATATTTTACATTATATACAATATTCTAGAGAATAAAGAAAAACGACTGAATCTATGGGAATCCGTCATGCTTATACTCAGTGGATGATGGACGGAGCAAGCTACATGTATACATTACGCAGTACTTATCAGCCAGCAGATATGATTTCTTCAACTTACAGAATGAATCACAATACAAAGTACACAAAGACTATGATAATAGGATACAATCACTCCAAAACAATCTAAGATCATAGACAGTGGTCCCTATATTAATGCTAAGGTAGGACTAGAACGGCTACGATTTGGGCGATCCTTAAAGATGTGCGGAAAGAGGAGCTTCACGCATTCAGTCGAAAGATAACCGCCACTTGGAGTATGACCGTAGAGTTCGAGACTAATTTTATTAGTAAGATCCTCTGCACGTGATGGAAAAGAGCGGACACGAAGTGGGACCAGGCTTGCCCATGAGTGACTGCCGAAAAGACGATTGGAGAAGTACGGAGATGTAAACTCGGGGAGATTCAAATTAGTTATTACCGTTAGTTGACTGGTGGAGCCGCGGCGAGGAGAAGGAGCTGGGGCAGTTGGCAGTGGTGTCTGCTCGATTTGCAGCGGATCGGGCGGCTTCTGCGATTTGCTGTCTAGTGATGGC